CTTGTTCTTGCCCTTGCCTTCCAAAGAGTTTGATGGTTTTCCATAATACTGAAAATAAACATAGCTTGAACACTTGAGAAATCACATTCCCATCATTCCTAGTTTCATTTATTCTCCATAACAAGCCCTTATAAGCAGCTTTCTCAGTACTGCTTGAATATTGATTCCTAGACACAAAAAAATCCATAAGCACCAAAATAAGTAGTGAAGGCAAAGAGAGCTATAAAAACATAGAAATTGGATAATGGCATAGAGAAATCGTTTGACCTGGTGGCACCTTTTTCTAAAACTACTTGACTATGTCTGTTAAACTACTTCTGCCTGAATATAGTCTTGGGTCTTGAATATCCACAAATATAAATTTGATTTCTTCATCCAACCATATAATCTCTTAATTTCAATAGTAAATGGGAATGCTCCCCCCAAAACGCAGTCTATCCTCCCCTTTTCCTCTGATTTCAAATTTGCTTTCTTCTTGATCTTTTTATACCATTTTAAGACATCCCATATAAACCAGTTACAGTTTTCATTGCTTAGAACTTATAAGGGCACTGCTTATTTTTCTTTAACTTAATAAAACTGTGGGAGACTTTCTTCGGTTAACGATCCTATAAAGATGCTTCTCAAGACAGCCCTGTTAGTTATTCTTACTGGGTTTCTTCTTACATGCATTCACTTACAATCCTCAGTATATTCTTTACAAGCTCCCATATACTTTGAACCATGGGGTTATCTTTGTTTTTCCAATGCATAGCATATATAAGCTCCGTGATTTTCCTAATTACTATTCTGCCAAAATGAGGTGTCCTAAAGTTATTTCCAGCAATTGAAGTAATAATGCAATTTTTATTTATGTTGCCAACATCTTTCATATTATGCACCATCCTACCTCTCTGTGTGGTTAGATGTCTGTGTCAGTGCTGTATGATCATTTACTTTGAGCCCTCTTATCTGCTCATTCACTCTTGAATTCAGTGTTACAGTTTTATCTGTAGATAAAACATGATGTTATAGGAAATGATTTATGCTTGTTTGCCAACTCAAGTACTAACCTACTAAGTCAATCGGACTAGTACAAACTGAAGATAAGCTTACATATAATGTGACATGATAATTCAGTAGAAATGTCACTGCCTTCTGAAAACAATTTAAATGTTATACAGAGTACTCTTAATAGCCTATGGAGACAGTACATAAATTTTCACCTCCTAGCTGTGGTTCTAAACAAACTAATTTGTAGCAATGACATACCTACTGTTCAGTAGTAGTATGGTTTTATGATTCACGAATGAAAGGAAAACAACAGTTTGGTTATTTTTAATAGTTATTTTATAATATGCATATAATAGGTTATACACTCACCTGCCACTTTATTAGGTACACCTGTTCAATTGATTGATAACACAAATAGCTAATCCGCCAATCACATGGCAGCAACTCAATGCATTTAGGAATCTAGACATGGTGAAGATGACTTGCTGAATTCAAACTGAGCATCAGAATGGGTAAGAAAGGGGATTTAAGTGACTTTGAATGTGGCCTGGTTGTTGGTGCCACACAGACTGGTCTGAGTATTTAAAAAACTGCTGATCTACTGGGATTTGCACGCACAACCATCTCTAGGGTTTACAGAGAATGTTTCGAAAAGAGAAAATATCCAGTGAGCGGCAGTTGTGTGAGAGAAAAAATGCCTTGTTAATGTCAGAGGTCATCGGAGAATGGGCAGACTTGTTTGAGATGATAGAAAGGCAACAGTAATTAATGTCAATATGGACCAGAATCTCTGAGGAATGTTTCCAACACCTTGCTACATCTATGCCACGAAGAATAAGGCAGTACTAAAGGCAAAGGGGGTCCAACCCGGTACTAGCAAGGTGTACCTAATAAAGTGTCCAGTGAGTGTATGTTTACAGGTAGTATTCTAGGCTTTTTCTGTGGCATGTGTGTCTTTTGGTATACATATGACAGGTACAAGGGGTACTATGGTTTATTAAAATGATCTTTAGATGGCACCTTCATGTTTCAGGTGTTTCAGGAAATAAATTGAATATACTATATATGTTCTAATTATTATTATTATTATTATTAGACATAGTTATAGTTTATTAGGGGTGTAAGTATACACAAGAGGAGCTATCAGTTAGCACACATACCAGAGGAGCACTTGGTAGAATCCATCGCTCTGTGGGCTATATATTGAGAACCATTGAGGTACAACTATCTTCACATGTATTCAGAAAGAGCTACTGAAGTTATGCCTCTCTCCTGGGGACAATAAAACATGACCTGCTCTGAAGATTACAAAGACAAAACATAACAGTTCATCCATTCACATTACCTGCCACCTCAGTCAAACCTGTACTTCTTTGTGATTGCAGTGAAATTAAAGCTGCCTAAGCCATCATGGCTCTTGGACAAGGTTTTTTTCACACTTATTGGTGAGAGCAAGACAACAGACAATGCAAGCATCCAAACCTGAGAGCACTTGATTCAGCAATTGTTTTGGACTGTTTTTGTGTTTCTCTGAAATTCTAGGATGAGGCATAATATAGTATCAGGCCAGTTCAATTTAAATATACTTATTCAATGTTGTAGATTGCATTGACAAATCAAGGAATATACAGTCAACTTCAAATAGAATAGGCATGTTGGTGGATAGTTTTTTTTTTTCAAATGTCTCTTTTTGCTGCATAATTAAATATATTGACACCTTGTATCAGATAAAATTGGGATAAAAATGATAGGTGCTAGAAGTGTTCAAGCTGTCATACAAGCATTTTCCTTCTGAACATTAAAGATCTTAAAGGAACATGTAATCCAGAGATTATGATTTACTCTATGATTAAGCACCTGTGTTCATGAAATATGTAAGAGGTTTTATTCCCGTGGTTTATTGTTTCACTAATTTTTATAAGCCAATAAAGAAGCTGCAAATATTTTCCAATGTGCCATCATCTGTGTATAATGTGTAAATGATTTGTCAGTGATGAGCACCAGTCTTCAACTGGCAAGTGTAAACCAACCTGAGAGGCACAATTTTTCAGTATGTAAGCATTTCGCCTTATGATCATTAAAAATATTTTAAGAAACATTTAATCCAGAGATTATAATTTTAAATTAAAGACCGTTTTTCTAGATTTTTACTTTACTGTGCATAGCATCAACCATCATTTGTTGATCATTTTTCTTGGAATGGTTGACTGGCCATGTTGGGTCTTTGTCTAGTGTCCATTGTTACATGTAAGATAAGCCTAAAACACCTATAGCTGAATGTATCATGTGAACAACCAACGAGAACCTTTACTGGATGGGAGAGTGGAAAAGCACATGGACGCAAGGAGAAAAAGAACATTAAAAAGTCTCTAAATACATGTGAAATATAAACAATACTATGAACAAAAAATTAGAACATTATTTCATAATAGATAACATATAATGTTCCTGAACCTGATCTAATATCATTATAAATTTTCAATGCACCCAAACTATGCATAAATAACTTTTCTTGGCAACTATATTACCCATCGTTACATCTCCTCCTATTAGTTACAACTATCCTACTTTAATCTGTCATCTGAAACTGTCACAGCCCATGTTGTTATTGCATGTGATAATAATAGCACTTTGGCCACACCTTCCAAAGGTAAAAATACTCACTTTCAAGTTCAAGTTCCTTGAAAAGCACATCCCTCCTCCCCCAACTTCTAAGGTTATTACATTTCTTGTTTCCCTAATTGTGAACTGTTTCCTGATTCACATCCCAGATATTTCTGGGGAGAATAAAATTGCTGAATTGCATCCAGAGTGATGCTACCCTGAACCAACACTCACCTCCTCTAAAGTATCCATCCACTGCTTTTTTTTTTTTACATTTGCATGCATATTTGGGAATTTTAAGGCCCCATTAGGGGCGGACTGACAACTCATGGGGCCCCTGGGCAATAGGGGATCATGGGACCCTGTGTCCTCGCCCACACTCAAACCACACCCAAAAAAGTCTATGAAAGGTACCAGGGACATCTCATGGGGCCCCCTACTGACCAAGTGCCCGAGTTCTCCAATGGTCAGTCTGCCCCTGGACCCCATGCACACTTTTGCATTGTGGGAATGCGCATGTTCCCATGCACATTACCACAACAGTTGACATTGCACACTAGTTGCAATGTGCTACTGTTAATTCCAAATTAAACCCCAGTTCACCTTGCCGACAGTGGTAAGTCGCACCGCAGTGCTCTGTGCAGTAATCCACTATGTGCATTGCAGTGAGATGAACTGCCAAAAGGTCCAGGTCTGATTTCTGGACTGCTGAGCTGTGCGACAGCCTATTCATTTTGAATGTACTGTCTGATGTGGTACATGTTGATGTGCAAAAATTAGTATGTGCTTTTAAAAAATTGCATTTCAACAGTAATGTGTGAACCTAGCCTAAGGTGTCATTCACATTGGTGCACTAGGTTTTGTAAGCACAGAAAAAGTAGTCTGGGAAGTACACTATATTGCTAAAAGTATTGGGACGCCTGCCTTTACATGCACATGAACTTTAATGGCATCCCAGTCTTGGTCCATAGGGTTCAATATTGAGTTGGCCCACCCTTTACAGTTATAACAGCTTCAACTCTTCTGAGAAGGCTGTCCACAAGGTTTAGGAGTGTGTCTATGGGAATATTTTGGCCATTCTTCCCAAAGTGAATTTGTGAGGTCAGGCACTGATGTCGGACAAGAATTGTCATCACAAAGGTGTTCTCTCATGTTGAAGTCAAAACTCTGTGCAGGTCAGTCAGGTTCCAAATTTGCTTATGCATAGACCTCACTTTGTGCACTGGTGTGCAGTCATGTTGGAGCAGGAAGGGGCCATCCCCAAACTGTTCCTACAAAGTTGGGAGCATGAAATTGTCCAGAATGTCTTGGTATGCTGACGCCTTTAGAGTTCCCTTCACTGGAACTAAGGGGCCAAGCCCAACCCCTGAAAAACAACCTCACACCATAATCCACTCTCCACCAAACTTTACACTTGACACAATGCAGTCAGTCAAGTACAGTTCTCCTGGCAACCGTCAAACCCAGACATGTCCATCGGATTGCGAGAGAAGCATGATTCTTCACTCCAGAGAACACGTCTCCACTGCTCTAGAGTTCAGTGGCGGCGTGCTTTACGCCACTGCATCCGACGCTTTGCATTGCACTTGGTGATGTAAGGCTTGAATGCAGCTACTCAGCTATAGAAACCCATTCCATGAAGCTCTCTATGCACTGTTGTTGTGCTAATCTGAAGGACACATGAAGTTTGGAGGTCTTTAGCTATTGACTCTGCAGACAGTTAATATCTTCTACGCGCTGTGCCCGCGCTGTCATTTTACGTGGCCTAACACTTTGTGGCTGACTTGCTGTTCTTCTCAGTTGCTTCCACTTTGTTATAATACCACTAACAGTTGACCGTGGAATATTTAGTAGCAAGAAAATTTCACGGATGGACCTATTGCACAAGTGGCAACCTATCACGGTACCATGCTTGAATTCACTTAGCTCCTGAGAGCGACCCATTCTTTTACAAATGTTTGTAGAAGTAGTCTGCGTGCTTTTTATACACCTGTGGCCATGGAGGTGATTGGAACACCCGAATCCAATGATGTGGAGGGGTGTCCCAATACTTTTGGCAATGTAGTGTATAACAACTTTTACACTTCCTAGATCAATTTTTCTTGTGTTTAGATGTTCCTGCTCTAAAACAGGTTTACTGCATTTAGACAGGTTTAGTCACATTTACGTGCACTTACATTAGTTTAGAGAACTAATCATATCCTGTCAAAGTTAAAATCGGACTATACTCAGTATATTATATGACTCATATAACACACTAGATATAGAGCAATATAAATGTAAATAATAATACTAGATGTAATGACAGGATGAGCCAAACACATACACAGAACCCAGAAAGAGCCAGTCAATCAACCATGCTGAGTTGATAGAAGACAATGGGATAAGGTGATCACCTCTAACACACCCTGCCATTGCCTAAAAGTGTCCAACCCCCCCCCTCCCCACCTTGCCACCTGCCAGGTTCTTCTGCAATGTTGTATTGTACCCCAGTCTGGCCACACACTGCCATTGTTGCATGCTGAGAGTCATTCACAGCACCAGCTGCCCAAACACAAGCTGTAGGCCATCTCAACTGAGTATCCACCCAGGGTTCAGCCTATGAAAGGCTAAGCCTCAGAAATGTACTTAATTAAGGCAGCCTACTTGCACACCTGCCAGTTAGGGCCTTCTAGCCTGCTTATTATCAGTGCCTAGCTACTGTGCCTGGGCCGCAGACACTCTGGAAAGGAGTTTGGACCAACGTATCTCTTCCTCTTATCTATGCCCCAGCTCTCAATGACCCTGTCACCAGAGCAGGGGTGGACTGACCATTTGGAAATTTGGGCACTGCCCAAGGGCCCGGGGTCAGTAGGGTGCCCCATGAGATGCCCCTGGTACCTTTTTCATAGGCTTTTTTGAGTTTGGGCAAGGACACAGGGGCCCCATGATTCCCCTATTGCCCGGGGGCCCCATGAGTTTTCAGTCCGCCCCTGCACCAGAGAATTTATTCAGTCATCACTGGCATCCTGTTTTCAGAGGACTTCCCAGCCCGGAGTTATAGGCTTTTGACCTTTCCTTTACAAAGCGGTCTTGGCCCTGCCCCTATAGCTTTTTGAGTCTTTCTATTAATTTATTAGATGGGTGGCCTTACTAGAAGTCTTGAGATGTGAAAGAGGAAAAAGCCAATCTAGACACTTAATTAGAAAAATTGAGATTTGCATTTGACTTTAGCTTCCTCTGTGGGTCTACTGATCATTTTAACATGAGGTTTTGAGTGCATTTGTTTTATGATGTGTTCATCTTTAATTCCCCAGGTTTGTGACAGGTTTACTTTAATTGTCAGGTTTAAATCCATTATCTTAGGAGAAAAGGTCTCTTTTTCAGGTGCATACAGATGGTCTCTTTTAATGACCTGTCTGTATATCTTTACGTGTTTATTCTATAAACATTAGGTGCAGGATAATTCAGAAATAACAGTGCACTGTATGAACAATAAATGTCAAAGAATGACTTGTAAGCAGTGCAATTACAAGCACTCCAAGTAGTCCAGTTATTATTAAGCTGTGTTTGAATAAGCAGAATAAATGATTTTAGATGGATATGTGTTTGTCAGTGTGAATAGTCCTTAACAAACATACTGTATCACGTGATCACATTCCTTAAGAATGCAATTGTAACAAGCTACATAGAGTGTCATTCCCAAGAGTAGCAATTAAAAATGGCCGCTTTTGTCTGCTTTGGCATGTTAATTTGCTGAAGACATGCTATGCTGAATGCTATGTTCTGTAAGTAAGGAATGTAGTTTTTTGTAATGATAAGGTATAGTACAATAAATTATTAACAAAGACTGTATGTGTGATAGCCATCATCCATCATTAGCAACTAGTTATATAATATTGTTGCTAGAAGTTATTTTAATGATTTATCAGTTTTACAAAAATAATAATATCTTTCATATGCTGTGTATTTAACAACTACAGGGAATAAAATACGGTCATCTTAGCCTTACATCAGAAATCTAATCTTATTTGTGTTTTACTATCAAGAAAAGGAACAGTGGAATGCTATTCATGACACATTATGTGGTTCAAGCAGTGAGGTAAGCAAGGGGCTGCAGACCCTTTGTTCAGTGAATAGAGTTTATTCCCTTTGTAAATCCACCCTGTTGGTTCATCATGGGGAACCTAGCCCATATGGTTTCTGTTTAACCACTTGCCCTCCGGAAGATTTAGGTACCGTTCACATCTATGCAGTTTGATTTTTGTCCATTTTGCAGTGCTTTTCGCAGTTCGTCTTGCGGTTTTCTACACGTGTTTTTGATGCGTTTTTCTGCATTTTTACCGCATTTTGTTCAGCCCTTTTTTTCTTAAAAGTGGATTTTTTTTTGCTGGGCAGAATAAAAATGCAAAATGTGGCAAAAACGCACTACCATGCATTTCAGCAGATTCTCCATTGAACTCTGTTGTAGCAAAAACGATGCTTTTTGCTTTTAAAAAAAATGCACCAGCTCAAAAAAGCATAGATTTGAACATATTCCATAGAAAAACCATGTTAAATGGACTGTATGTGTTTCTGATAAAAGCACTAAAAATGCATTGGTGTGAGTGGAGCCTAACCCCCCTTCATAACCAGGCCATTTTTTGTGATATGGCACTGAGTTGCTTTAACTGACAATTGTGCAGTCATGCAACACTGTACATAAATTACATTTATGTCATTTTCCCCCCACAAGTAGAGCTTTCTTTTGGTGGTATCTGATCACCTCTGTGTTTTTTATTTTTTGTGCTATAAACAAAATTTTTTATAAAATAAACAACTTTGATAATTAAACAATATTTTTGACTTTTTGCCATAAAACATATCCAATAAAAAAAAAAATAAAATGTCTTCATATGTTTAGGCCAAAATATATTCTGCTACATGTCTTTTGTAAAGAAAAATCCCAATAAGTGTAGATTAATTGGTTTACGTGAAAGTTATAGTGTCTACAAATGGCGGTATATATACTGGAATTTGTTTTTTTTTATACTAGTATTGGCGGTGATCAGCAACTTGAAGCAGGACTGCGGCGGGTATTAGGACACTCACTGACACTGGGTGGGAACTTACTAACTTCCATCTCCAGTGACACTAATACAGCGATCATTGCTAATAAAAAGCACTGATACTGTACTAATGACACTGGGTAGGAAGGGGTTAAAATCTGTGGCTATCAAAGGGTTACCTGTGTGCTGTTTTGTGCTTACTGTGTGGTGTTTTACTTTCTATCTCTCTGCAAAGCAGCATGTCCCCACTGACAGGAGAGAGATCTGTGTTGTTTAGACACAGATCTCCCCCTGTCAGCTTCTCCACTGATCACCAAGTCCTGGACATAAATCGCTGGCCGGGTCCCACTGATTGACATCTTCTGAAGCCATTGACAGCGCGGGTAAGGGGTGCGCATGCCCCCTACCCGGAAATTCAAAATCATGTATATAATACCTGATTTTGCACAGCACTGCTACCCTATAGCAGTACATCTGTTATGGGGCGGTCAGCAAGTGGCTAAAGAGTAGAAAAAGAAGATTTTGTCTGTTGTATAACATAACCAGGGGTGGACTGACCATTCGAGCACTCGGGCACTGCCCGAGGGCCCAGGGTCAGTAGGGGGCCCCATGAAATGCCCCTGGTACCTTTTTATAGGCTTTTTTGTTGTGCTTTGAGTGTGGGCAAGGACACAGGGGCCCCATGATCCTCTATTGTCCGGGGGCCCCATGAATTGTCAGTCCGCACCTGAACATAACATAAACAAAAGCAGATTGCAGATTCCTACCTTTTGTTATTCTGAAGAAACAGTTGCTTGTTTGTCTGTGTCCATGTGCAAAATGAATGTGAATCGGAGTGATTTTATAATTATCAATCAGCTGCTGCACTTGCAGGGTTCTCATAAGGAAAGTTGCAGGATCTGCATCTCTTCAGATGTGATTTCCCTTTGGGAGTATTCACCAAAAATGACATTTTTGTTGCAGGAGATGCTCAAAATCTGAATTGTATCCTAGTTCAGACTTCTGGGAAAATCAGTGAGCCAATCGCAAAAACAGGAAATTGTATTTCTGAAGGGAGTTCTGTACCCCATCTGTGTACAGAATGCCTCCAGATTGCCATATTGCATCGCATTTTACAGAAATTACAGCACTTTAAATTGAAAAGGAAAGGTCATTTTAAATAACATTCAATTACAATATGACTTGTGTCGCAAGTGTACATGATATATTATTATTCTTGTTTATTATTATTTTTTCCCATGAAAGTGGAGTTACCCTTTAAATATTACAGATTTTAGAAAATGAATACATTTGCATCTTGCTTAGGTGTTAAAAAAAAAAACTTTGACAGCTCATCTTTTTCTTCCATTAGATTGCTACACCTCAAATGACTTTGCAAGCAGTAAACCTACACATGTTGTTTGTTATATCAGCTGCCAAACTTTTATAGTTCTCAAACATGAACTTTACCTGAATCCTAGCTCTTAATACACGCTACTTCTTTGAGAAGTGAGTGAAAGTGTAGCTTTTCAGTCGCAGCAATTTAATCATAGGACTAGAATGTTAGGCTAAATTTACAGCTAATAAAGAAATATAGGTATCTTTAAATAACTCTATGTTGGCAAATAAAATATTTAGAAATGGCTTTAGTAATAGACAATTATATCAACAAATATAGTCCTTAAAATGACAAAAGTAGCCAGCCAAGATTCAACAGCCATCCCGCCACACGATCACCTTCATCATCATCATGGTGAAGGTTGTTATAAGTCCATTTTATATTTTTTTACTCTACAATATGATTAACATATCAAACCTATCTGGACTGTTACTGTATTCCAGAAGGCACATGACAAGGGGCTAGTTTTGGATGCAAGGAAATAGAAATTTAAGTGTGAGAGTTACGGCAGCTGCCAGGGGAAGAAGGGTACTTGGCATAGGGGGGAAAGTTAGAAAGTGGCAGGCCAGGATTTGAGGAAGTGGATATAAACTGTGGGGTGGAGAAGAGGATACTATTAGGGAGTGGGGACACTACTGAGATACTGAGAGAAAGAAAAGCAGAGAGCATATTATAGGGTAGAGAAAGTAGGAATCAGACCTGGAAAGAAAGCTGGATGGGGAAATTTAGATTCATGTGCGGTCTGTCCAAAGGGGTGCACTATTGTTTGTAGGTGTTTTCTTGTTGAACTGCCATGTTTAGAGTTTTTACGTTTTACCTTTGTAAAAATTATCACTTTGGCAGACATTAGAGTGCCTTTCTCCCTATGGTTGTCCTTAATTAAGAACTAGTAAGAGACAGATGGATGAAAAAGGAAACATTCACATTAAAGCCTTGTACACGCGGGTTGAAGATTGGCCGAACTGGACAATTTTCAGCCCGTATGTCAGTTAAAGCCGGTCTGAAAAAGGACTTCTGTCGAATGGGCATGCTGCAAAATCAACATCCAACCTGCCGTTGGCTACCAGTGCTTATAAGTGTGTTCTGCTGGCTGGGACAAAGTACTAAGACTGGCCAAAGCCAAAAAATAACATTGGTTGTTTGATCAACCAACACAACAGGATGGTAGATCTGTAGATATACATTACTGTAGGTTAAAATCAATGTGCCACATTACAGTGGAATGCTGGATGAGTTTTCCACAAACAGGCCAGTAAGGTAGCGATTTAAAATCAATGTAACATAATACAGAGGAATGCAGGATGAGTTTCACAAAGGCAGAAAAATTTTATCACAAAGTTGTTTCAGGCGATCTCCCCCAAGATAGAAATATGCGATAGACACTCAACTATTGAGCTGAAATTAGGAGAGGTGAGTTTTTCAGGTGCACTGTGCTGTTACTATATTAGTTGGGGGCACATGGATATCTGAAGGTGTCCATGTGTCCCTATTTGGAGGTATTGCGAGCTTAAGCTGGGAACAGGGGCGGACTGACAACTCATGGGGCCCCTGGGCAATAGGGGATCATGGGGCCCCTGTGTCCTTGCCCAAACCTAAAAAGCCTATGAAAAAGGTACCAGGGGCATCTCATGGGGCCCCCTACTGACCCCGGGCCCTCGGGCAGTGCCCGAGTTTCCAAATGGTCAGTCCGCCCCTGGCTGGGAATACTCGTCAGTTCTGCTTCCTGGGGCACTATGTCAGGGAACAGAAGGAATGATATTCACAGGAATACTACTCTGTTCAGTTGGGATGGTGATAGAACCAGATACAATATGATTCTAACCAAAGGGTTGTAAACACAGGGAAACTGTAGGGTTGAGCTGATGCAAAAACTCAAATGAAAACATATGTCAAATGAAAGGTTCCAGGTTAATATGTAAAAGCAAATTATTTATTTTTGAATGATATTGTGTCTTGTTCATACTTGCTTGTATAGATTGCATTTTGGCTGCTTTTGTACAGGCACACTATATACAACAATAGAGTACTGACTAGTTTGGATCTTAGATGGCTAGACTTTGTTTTTTTTTGTATCAGAAACAAAATAAACTAATAAAAAACACAGGATTTTAAATTAAACAGCTTTATCCTCTCATGGGAAAGACGGAGTGGTGGCTTTTGTCTAACAAAAGCAATAATGAAAACCACTGAATGGGAGAAATCCAAAGTGATTATAGACCAGCCATGTAGCTTTGCATCCAGACTGGATGTGCTACACTACCGCAGCTCCTCAACTTGGGGAATAAGGTTTGGCCATTTAGACTCTATGGTTTTTGTAAGTGAAGTTATATCTAAATGGTAAGTGCAGGGGTCCCATAAACTTTGCTAAATGAGTGGCAACCTGATTAGAAATAAATGCACATATAATTGTGTATCTACTCACAAGCCCACAGCATCATTCACAGGCCCTGTTATGTATCCACCGGAGCAATGGGTGTTGGCTGCCTCTGGAACCCATCACTTCTTCAGCTTCTACTTGTACAAATATGAACTTTATTAATCCAGTGGAAATGAGTGCACACACTCCAGTAGGGGGGAAATGCATCAGAAGAAGTCATGGATGATCCGTCCTCATGTCTGCTGAATTATTACATTTTTTTAGCTATTTGGATCGGAAGTGTCCCTTCATTTTGTCCCTTCTTTGCTTGATAAATGCCCCTCAGTGTATTTGTAAGACCAACTTAGGTTAACAGATGTAAAGGTGCTATCTCTCTTGAACCTGAATTGGCTGTATTGACAGTGGATGTCATAAAACAGCAGAACCATCTGGTTGACCTGAGCATCAGGTGGCTGAACTTTTTGTCAATAATGTTTTATTAGGTATTTTAATAGGAACAATATACAGGTTGGGTGAAATCAGAACATAGAACAATTAAAATAATATGGTTTGGTAGGTTGACTAGAAAATAATACAAATCTAAGAAACTGAGAAGATTATCATGGCTCAATATTGCTTAGACTCTTCAAATATTGTTTCGTCATAAAGAAGAGTTTGGGTTGTAGAGGTTGCTTTCTTGGTATTAAAGCGGTATTAAACCCAAAACCAAATTTGACCATTTCAGAAGGGACCGGCTTAATTTTGATCCTTGTCTAGGCACCCTTGTTGTACACAAATCGATCTATCGATTGACTTGTCTACAACCATCCTGTCGAGTTTTTCCCAAATGATTAGTGCCGCCAGCAATAGCCAGCAATACTAATCATCCCCGCCGGCCGGCAGAACACAATAGGGCTGTGGGAGGGATCCTCCCATCAACATTGACTGTGTTGATGGAGAATCAGGCAATTTCATTTCCTTCCACCCATGGAGGAACGAAAGAAAATTGCCTGATCTTTGACCTGCCAATAGATACACTGGCAGATTTAGACTAAAAAAGTGAAGCTGAACTCCAGCTAACACTTTATAAGCAGTTAAAGCAAACAGTTTTTTTCTTTTAGGATAAAGGTTTTACATAAATGAATAAAAGCTAATCATTGTAAGCACCCCTGTCAGTAGTAAATGGTTGGTCTCAAACATGTAACTGCTACATCTGCAGGACAGCTTGTTCTGTTGAAAAACAACTGACTTCCTGGCCAGATCACCAATTGAAAATAAAGGAAACAAAGCCTAAAAAAAGAAAATGGATGCAGCCATCACATCTAACAATTGGTAAGCTGCATTGTATAATACAATTTGATTTTTTTTTTATACAAGATTGTGTAGTGTATTTCTTCTTGATGGCAAAAGGATAAGCACCGATAAAGTCCCACTTACTCTTTTTATAGTATACAATTTGGGATGTGGTCCTGATGGATCAATAGTGCCCAGTATTTTTTGTTTAAGCCATGTCTTTTAGTGTGGGGGAAAATGTGGGTTTGGGGGAAGAAAGGAAAGAGAAGAAATTTAAAAAAATAGGGTTGAGAGACAGGTGGTGGTTTGGGTGGGTATGAAGGGTGGAGGAGGGGTTTTAGAAAACATTCCCTTGACCAAGGTAAGTCTGGATTCTATCATCAGGAAACTAAAAAGCTGGAATCAAGGGCAGTGTATTCCTGATAATGAGATGTCTGTATAGACCAGTTGTGGAAAATTAGCCCGGGGATCTGAGTTTATTATCTCTTTTATAGATAGGCATAGCCAGGTCTTCCATGTCACATACTGGGTGAGATTTACTAAAACTGGTTCTCTTAGAATTCAGTACACCTGTGCATGGTAGCCAATCTGCTTCTAACCTCAGTTTGTTCAATTAAGCTTTGGCAATAAAACCTAGAAGTTGATTGGTTTCTATGTGCAGAAGTGCACCTGATTTTGCACTCTCCAGCTTTAGTAAATACACCCCATTGCTAAATACTCTACACCAGTCCTGTATAGTGGGTGTGCTGCCTAAGTCTTTATGGGATATATCTGAAAAATGATGATTGTTATACGGGGGGGTCACAAGCAAGGCCAGTGCTACCACTAGGCAAACTAGGCAGCTGCCTAGGGCGCACGGCCACCTAGGAGTGCAGCCATGGCCGGATCTAGGGGTGTGCTGGGATAGGCTTTGGGGGGATTTGGGTAAGGTGGGAGGATTTTATGCTGGGGAGGGTAATTTGGAGGGGGTTTAGCTAGAAGTGAGATTTGGGGGTATATGTCCTAGGTGGGAGGATTAAAGGAGGGGGGATTGGGGGATTTGTGCTAGGAGAGGGATTGGGGGGGATTTGTGCTAGGAGAGGAGATTGGGGGGATGGATATTAGGAAAAATTATTGGGGGAAGTTTGTGTTAGGAGAGGGAATTGGGGGGGAATTTGTGCTAGGAGAGGGGATGAAGGGTTGAACTAGAAGGGAGTATTGGGGGGGGGATTTTTGCTAGGAGGGGGGTTTGGGGGAGTTGCTAGGAGAGGGGATTGTGGGGGAGTATTAGGAGAGGGGATTAGGAGTAAATTTGTGCTAGAAGAGGCGGATGGGGGGGATTTGTGTTAGGAGGGGGATGGGGGGAATTGTGCTAGGAGGCAGGATTGGGAGCGGATGTGCTAGGAGGCGGGATATGTGCTAGGAGAGGAGATGGCGGGGTTGAACTAGAAGGGAGGATTGGGGGAGATTTGTGCTAAGAGGAGGGTTTGGGGAGGTGCTAGGAGAGGGGATTGGGGGAAGTATTAGGAGAGGGGATTGGAAGGAAATTTGTGCTAGAAGAGGCGGCTGGGGGGGATTTGTGTTAGGAGGGGGATGGGGGGAATTGTGCTAGGAGGCAGGATTGGGAGCAGATGTGCTAGGAGGCGGGAAATGTGCTAGGAGAGAAGATGGGGGGGTTGAACTAGAAGGGAGGATTGGGGGGGATTTGTGCTAAGAGGAGGGTTTGGGGGAGGTGCTAGGAGAGGGGATTGGGGGGAGTATTAGGAGAGGGGATTGGAAGGAAATTTGTGCTAGAAGAGGTGGCTGGGGGGGATTTGTGTTAGGAGGGGGATGGGGGGAATTGTGCTAGGAGGCAGGATTGGGAGCAGATGTGCTAGGAGGGGGGATTTGTGCTAGGAAAGGGGGTTTGGGTGCGGAGGAAGGATTTGTGGTGGGAAGGGCAATTTGGAGGGAGTTGTGCTAGGAGGTGAGTTGGGGGGATTTGGGGGAGAGGAGTTGTGCTAGGGTGGAAAATCTGAGGGGAAAGAAAATGTGTGCTGGAGGAGTGAAGTAGAACTATAGGTGTAATTATTTTTTTTCTATGCAAGTAAACTAGGGCGCAAAATAGTCTAGCACCAGCCCTGGTCACACAATGGCTATAAATGGTAACAAACAGATTTCTGAAAAGAATGCACTTTCCTCCCTTGCTATCTCTTTCTTTTGGCCTATATACCAAGGACCAGAATGTTCCTTGTAACGTACAGTCATGATGAAGCATATCATGGTGGTATTGTTGTTATGCCTGCAAAGACGGCCAGAAGGTAACGCCAATTACTTTATGCTTCTGTAATACCATCATACTTGTCTTTGAGATGTTAGCATAAAGCACTGCTATAATGTTATCCAATAAAGTTGTACTCAGTGAGTTAAATTTAAGCTTCATGCTACATATGGACTTCATTTGGGTCATTAGATATTGAGAGTTTTAAGTTGTGCAAATTAGTTAAATCATATACCACAAGCTGTATCACAATGTCCTGCCAATTTCAATGTCAATGATGCTTTAAAAATGAGTTATTCTTGTAGATGAGGAATCAGTTGGTTTTTCATGTGATGATCATTAGAGCTGGCATTTAAAGACATAAACTTTGCTGAGATAACCAATGTCATCTATATGGAAACATTAGATGTGAAGCCAATGCATACGAATTTCCCTGACAGAGAACAGTTTTACAGAACACAAAGGCTGCTTGACTGGGCTTTGGTTTGAATGGATTTGTGGTTCATTTAAAGTGATGGATAAACAGGTTATTAAGGGATTTAGTATGTTCTGACAAAAGACTCCAATTAGCATGTACATGATATTAATCACCTTTCCTCTTTAGAGCTGACATGTCTATACATGCTTCATCGCCATATGTTTAAAAGGCAGTTTTTACATGTCAGTGTTTTTTTAAGAGTACCTGTCATCTTTACGCTTGAGAACATTAACGTAGATCTAAACCCTAACCGGATGACATTTAGTTTTCTAAAGCACTGTATATTACAAATGAAGAACTGTTATTACTGATGT